ATATATATATATACACTCTATATACACTCTAATATCTATGAATGTAAGATAGGGACCTTAGATTGTAAGGACAGGGGCTGATGTGAATGTGCAATGTAAAGCACTGCTTAAATTGTCGGTGATATACATAAATACCTGTAATAAATACATCAATTGATATTTATTTTTCATAAACTCATAAACCGTGTCTATTTTGAAAATATTACTGAATTTTTACTTGAGGTAGTCATAAACACCAATTTGGAGCTGAAGTGTGGGAAAAATAGGTGGAGTCCGGAGCTATAAATATCACAGGCTTCTGCTGTTTTCTGATGGTTTGCAAACTATTATTATCACAGTGTTATTGTTTGCCTATCTGAACAACCAGTCTACCTTGCTGCTGATATTTCAACATCTACCTCATCAGTCACCAGTGTGCTATTCTTGTACAAAGACTTCACGTGTATGAAATCAGCACCAGTAAATTCTTCAGCTGTGAAGTGTTAACAGTGTTCTTGCAAAAGGGACAACGTTAGATCTGCTAATCCCAACTGCCAAGTGTGATTGAGCATTACCAGAGAGCAAAGAACCTGGAAATCCTCTTGTACCGGACACGTTCCTATTAGATATCTAACAAGAACATTGAAGATCAATGTTTACAGACTCTGGTGGAACTGGTGTATAGACAAGTCTCTTTTCTTTTTCCTTTTTTTTATTGTATTCGGAAAGCAGAACGATCAGAGAAACTATTCAAATATTCCCCTATTATTGTGTAACTTCATTATGTGAGAGTGACAGAAAGAAAGAATGGGGTTGCTATAAACCGTAATATATTTGCATAGTAACAGTTTACAAAGGAACAATTCATTTAAATGTATATATAGTTGACATTGCAGCAACTAAACACTGTTTTTTTTAAAAAGACCACAGCCCTGTCCCCATAGACTAACTGCTTTGAGGTCCAGCACCACCCCTCTTCCATGTTGAATGATGGCCAGTGTTGTTCATCCTATTTCATATGAGCCCAGGCTGTCATAAACACATCTCCGGGAGTTCATCACTACATTGAGCTGGGCTCACTACTGCAGAGAGCAGTGCTGATGTCATAATGTCTGCTATCTATGTAATTGAGGAATGCCCATTGCTGCCTCAGGGAGAAGAGGTAGAGGACCCTGGCATATAAAGTAGTATTACATGCTCAAACTGTTTTTTTTAATAATGAATGCAGATCAAATGTACATTGCCCAGCAAAGTATTTCTTTACATTTTTGCCCATGCACTTAAAGTCCTCATGGTTCCAAACAACTGGCTCCAACTCCTAGTTCAGCTTCCCTGAACTTCCTGTCCAGTAAAGGATCAGAAGGGACAGAGCAGTCTGCAGGTGCAGTCCATCTACTAGCTTGAAGAAGGGAAGGAGGAGGAGCAGGGGAGTGGCTTGCATTCTGTGCTTGCGTATTTGTGGGGACACCCACACATTACTAGAGCACACGAGTGTCTCCATAGGCCCCTGAAAGGGAAAGGAACCACCCTAAAACTGGATATGAGGGCCAGTGCTCAGGGGACCAGTTGACTACAGAAAGCAAAAACCTATAAAGAAGTAGCATTATTGTAAGTGTAATTGTAATCATCAGTTGAAATAGCTTCAAAACCTTTCGACTTGATATCACTTTAAGGTACATGAAGGGGTAAAAAAGTAAAGGAGGGGAGGACCTTTTTTTACTTTCTATATTTTCTTAGCATTCGGCTGTTCTGCTTTATTGCCTCGTTCATGCAGGTTTTAGCTTGTAAATTCCAGTCTATTAGGAGCAATGTGTACGAGTGTTTTCAAAGCTTTTACAGAGCTTTTAGAGCAGTTTTCTTAAAGCCTTTTATGGCGCTCTTCACTTCCAGTCTGGGATTGGTAAACTACAATCTTACTGGGATTGCTCATGGTCACTTACAGCAACAATAGCATTTCAAATTACACTGTTTCATATAATGACATGGTTTTCTTTTACGGCTTTAAGAAAGCTGCTGGGAGCCCTGTAAATGCTTTGAAACATTTGCTGTACACTCCTCAGACTAGTGCTTACAATAGAAGTATGTGTGTTTATATATTGTGGCAGTGCGTGGCAATGCCACGGAGTATGCTGGCGACACAGACACCCAGGGCTCTCAGCCAGAGGGGCTGAGAGGTTCCAGAATATAGTTTTGCAGGGAGGAAGCTGGCCTTTCAGTTTCTTCCGGTTTTGTTTTGCCGGATTGTAGCTGGGATCTGGATCTCTGGAGATTTCTCAGAACTTTGGGTGGGATGAAATTTCCAGTTCTGAGGTCAGTTGTTGCCAGGGATCAGGTGGCTGAGAGCAGCCTCCATAAGACCCAGACCAGAGCTCAATGGAGGGGTTTGTGTGGTGTGGGCTGCAGGCACATGGAGGCTCCTGCTGGGAAGAGGGACAGGTTGTGTCCAGGAGTCAGGAGGACTCCACCCAGAAGCCAGAGTGGAGCCGGGTGGCTGTGTGTGCGCTGAAGGCACCTGGGAATCGGCCAAGGAGGCTTAGTGCGCCTATGACACACAAGGGATGTGTGGAAGAGTCACATGGAGTATATGTGACAATCTTGAGTTGGTGAGACATTGTTATATTGTCTACTTGCTGAAATACAAGCATGCTTTATGTTGTATTGCTGAAGAAAGCTATCTTCTGTTATAAAAGAAAAAAAAGACTATCCTTTTTCTGTTTAAAGCGGCTTTAAAGTGACATTAAACCCTCAGATTTTTTAACATAAAACAATACTGTAATGTGCGCCTTACTGTAATCCATGGTTGTTTCCCTATTGTCACGCTGACGCGGAAGGTCGGAGGTCGATCGGCGGTCCGTCGTAAGTGCGAGTGGTCGCAAAACAGGTAAGTGAGGAACATCTGTATATAATCATCAGCAGTCCCATTTCCTAAGGCTACAGTGTGCAGTAACCGCATATGTAAAGTCTGCCATTCCTACTATCTCACAGAATGTGCTGAATAAGGATTGGGTTATAACATGGGTTTAGTAGTCCTTGCAGTACTTTATTTATTACAGGTAATTTATAGAGCGCCTACAATTTTCGCTGCTTTTTACATACTGCCCATATACATTTCGATTCATTGGAATTTTTACAGGTATTTTACAACTTATTTTCATAAGATAATATCTGAAGCAATGTTAGAAGTGCTGTTTTGAAATCTATTTAAAGAGGAGCTGGTTCTCTTCTTTTTACAATTTTCCATTCAGGATTGGGAAGCATGGTTTCCTTTTTCAGTGCTCAGCTTCCAGTCTTTTTTCTTCTTCTTCTTTTTTTTTTTTTTTTTTTCTGGCTGTTGTCTTTAGCATATATACCGTCCACTATTTTATAGTGCTTCTGTATACAGGCTTCAGATTTAGAAGCAAGTCAGATGCAGTATTGTACTTCTGAGATATTTTGACTTGCATTTGAGTTGCGTTGATTTGCCACTCGGGTGATCAGGAAGTTGCATCAAGCTGCTTTAGGGCTAGTTAACACCATATGCAGTTGTGATGCAGTCAGTTTAGTTTGGCTGCTGCAGCCAAAATACATCACAATGCTTTCATATAGGATTTCTTGTGCTCTATTCACACCAGTGGAGTCCGTTCCGACGCAGTCAGAAAAAAATACTACTTGCCCTATTTTAGCTGCATCTGATCGCACTGGAACGCATCACAAACTCACTGGAACGCACCTGAAATCCCATTTTTAAGCACAAAAAAAACAACAAAACATCAATCGCAGCAAAACACATCGCATTGCAGCTGCAGTTCTGGTGTGAACTAGCCCTTAAGTCCATTTCCAGCTTAATGGTAATGTAGATGTGCAGTGATGATGACTCGCATTGCAGGCATTCTACATCTTTTTATGGAGGTTTTTTTAGGCCTGAGCCCTAGAAATGAAAAAATAATTTCTCTACAGGAAAATGTCTGACTCTGGGGTCAGATTTGAAGGGTAGGTTGTAAACAGCTCTGCCTCTCCTTGTGCTATGAATACTAATGAATGGGGGGAGAAAGCTCAGAGACAGCTCCGTTGTAGTTTAAACAGACTGCTTCCAAGCACAGAGGCGGCCATTTCCATGAGGAGATGCAAGGGACAGCTAACTAAGAAAGTATATTTATGTGTTCATATACAGCAACTGCATATGCCTGCTTCATGTTCACTCTTTGTACATTGCTGGCATATTTGTTTTTTTTATTTTATTTATTTTTTTAAATAAAAACCTCTGCAAAGGTGGAAATGGGCTTTAAGTTGCCAATGTATTCACATGAAGCTCTATGGGGAATAAAAGCAGCTCGGATGCAAACAAAAGCACATATAAAAGAGCCCTGAGTTGTCTCACATTGCCGTGTCCTTTTTTTTCATGTTTAATTGATTGATTTATTTTCAGTTACCACTCAAGCACTGGAAATTCATATGAATCTCAGCACAACTCCATCTGCTCCTCATCACTTAAGTAAGTGGTTTGTGTTTATAATAATATTAGCTTTCATGCCGAGATACCAGTAGTGATAACAGTGATGGTTCCCTAGGCTCTCATTGGGATGGGATAACATGTTTATAGGGGGTTTTGCAGGAAGAACAGTGAACCTCAGTTGGGAACTGGCAGGCTTTGTCTATAGCAGCCAGTTTGAGTGTAGCTGAATATTTTCCAGAGCCGCTGTCTGCCCCCTTGTGATAGTAATAAAATTAAAGTCAAAAAAAGTATTCTATATTTTTTTTAAACTTAAGTAGAACAGTTGCACTTATTGCCCGTTTCTTCCAAGGTATATCCTTACCTCTCTCTGATCCAGCAAGATCTTGTTTGTGTGGCCTCCTTGCTTATACACATGCATACAAGGCATGCATACGTACGCATACACAAACTGCATGACACCTATTTGGTACACTCATGCACACCCAAGATAAAGTGTAAATATTTAGGTTTAAAGAAGAACTTGAGGCAAATAAAATATTAACCCTTGCATTGGAGCTACCCATGCTCGGCAAGGGTAAAGTGCTTGTTTTGTCTAGGGAACAAAAATAACCGGGATATACTCACCCGAACCATGATCCCGACTGACTACTAGACCGGTCCCTTCAGCCTCACTTCCTCTCTATTCCATCGGTCTAAGGTCCTGTAAGTCATCACATCCAATACAGTGTATAGGGCACTGAGAGATATTCCATTGGGGGAGCAAGGCTGAAAGGACCAGTGTAGGAGCCAGCTGGGATTGTGGTTCGGGGGTAGCCCCACTGCAAGGGTTAAGATTTTATCTGCCTGGAGTTCTTCTTTAACTCTAGAACGTTGAGCTGTAAAGTGTGTTGTGTTTTTTGTTGTTGTTGTTTTTTTTATTCACTGATTACTTTCAACTTTTGGTCTTAGATTTTTGTTGTTTTGTTTTGCAAGTGTGTGTGTGTGTGTGTGTGTGTGTGTGTATATATGTATGGTGTGTGTGTGTGTGTATATGTGTGTATATATATATATATAAATTTGTGTGTGTATGTATTAGCGATGCACCCATATATCGGCCGTGGAAATATATCGGTTGAAAATGGCACTTTTGGCAAAATGCTGAAAGTGTCATTTTCTGGCCGATACAGCGGTGCATCTGTGTATTCTCTCCTCCCCGCTGGGCGCTGCTCTGTGTCCCAGCGGGGAGGAGAGAAACTGTCACAGGCGGCCGAGCGCTGCGGTAGGAGAGCGCTGTGAGCGGCCAGAGTCTCTCCACCCTGCACCGCTCAGCCTCCTGTCACAGATCAGAGGAAAGCAGTGTGGGCGGAGACGGCCAGCGCTGTCAAAGCCTCCTGTGACAACTGTCAGGATGGAGAGCAAGGTACAAGCACTTGGTGATCGCTGAGTGTTTGTAAATAATTGAGGACATAGCATATTGACTATATCCTCAATTATGGATGAATGGGAAGTGATCTGCATCATCTTCTGTTCATTCATGATTGTGGTTATAGTAAACATACTATCTCCACAAGTTATGAATGAACAGGAACACTCAGTACAGAGGATTCACCAGCTACTTTACTTTTTATCCCCCCCAGCCTCCGCATTTACCTGAATGTGCAGGTTCATCACCTCGGTTCTTTTCTCTTTTTTTTCAGGCAATCCTGGAATAGCTGCATCACTCCTGCTGGGAACTTTCTTCATCAGCCTGTTCCTTGTTCTTTCCGTGGCCTCGTTTTTTTACCTCAAGCGCTCTCTCATGCTGCCTGAAATTTTCTACAGAAGTAATAAAGGTACTTCTCTGACTTGTAGTCCTGTAAGGTTTTAATTGCACAGATATCAATTAGGAAAATGTAATGAAATTGTGTGGCTCTCCAGCTGTGCAGAAACTACAAATCCCATAAGGCATTGCAAGCCACAGGCATGACTCCCAGAGGCAGAAGCATGATGAGATTTGTAGTTCCAGCACAACTGGAGAGCCAAGGTTGCCTACCACTGCCCTAGACCAAAACTTGCACATAACCCTTGCAGTGTGGGGGTAGCCCCACTGCTAGCGTTTAAGAAAAACATTTCCGGAGTCCTTCTTTAAATGAACGACTTTATTTTATTTCAGATTATTTCATCCATGTGCTGCAGGCAATGTTTATAATCTTCCACCTTCTCCTGCACCCTTTCTGCTTCCTAACTAATAGGAACACAGTGCTGACCTACTAACCTTTTTAGCCTCTTGCGACCTACATTGGCTGCAAATGCAAACTGGCTGCTTTACACAGATATGCTCAATGCTGTGTCTGTGACAAGGAAGCATTGGCCTCCAGGTGCACGTAGGGCAACTTAACCTGCTAAAAGGTTAGAGAAAAAAAAAAGTATTTTAAAGGAGAACTATGTGGTGAGACACGATCATTCATCCTCATAGTTCGTGCTGACGTGTGACAATGAAACTCGCTAGATCAGGAAGTGAGCGAACGCTTACTGTCCCTCTCTCACTTCTCGATCATCTGCCTGCAGAGAGCAGTGACCGTCAGTCACGGCTCCCTGCAGGGATTATCCAAATCCCCGCTCCGATCTTCCAGCGCTGACTGGGAGCGGAGGGTACAGCTGGCTCTGCCTCTGGATAGGCAGAGCGCGCTGTCACTCACGAGCTGGGTGGATCTTGACAGCATTGTCGGGATCCGACCCGGCTGCGGCGGTCTCAGTATACCGCGAGCTGTGGCTCACTATATACTGAGCTTTGGGTCACGGGAGAACGCTAGTATATGTCCTCCCGTGACCCTTAAGTGAACTATGGGGAAAACACGAAAACACTTACCCCATAGTTCCCTTTTAAGATGTGTATTAGTATACTATCCGTTCCGGAGTAGCAAGGGGGTAGGTGATTTATTATTGCAATTGTGTATAGCTGCAAGGCTAAGGCCATACATTATGTTCTGCCAGGACCTTTATTAAATTGTCGACATAGCTAAAATGGGTTTATAAGAGAACCAGTCTAAATAAATATCTGCTTTGGGCCACTGACCAACATACAACAGGAACAAACTCAATGACCGGGTTATTGTGACTGCCAGTGCCACCCCGTACACCTGCTCATAAAAGCCTAATAGATGAAAAACAGCCAAGTGCCCAAATACTTTGTCTAATTACATAACAATTCTCAGATCTTTTTGTAGATAATGTGTGTACACCACAGAAAGGACTTGTGGCAGCAAAAGGGCCAAACTATTGCCAACCTGGCTGACCTAAATAATGTGTTTTATGCTAGTCTGGCCCCTCTGCCATGGCGTGCATGTCTTTACCCACAGCTCACAATATTTCCCTGTCTTTGGATCGTCATAGGCTCATGTATTCGTTCTCTGCCAAAGGCAATGCCAAAATATTTACAACCAAAACCGGCCTGGCAATTTATAAAGATATTCATTTTCATTGTTTGATAAATACAAGCCATACAGTAACATGATTTTTAATATTCCTCTTATATTCAGAACGTGCCAACACGTGGCACAATGTTTGTTAATAAGGAAGATTGTTTAAACATGACCGTAAAGAAGTGTTCAGTGAAATTAGTGAAAGTGTTGCTGCACTTGGTGTACCAGCTGTCTAAAAACATAGGAGGAGGAATAATGTGATGTAGGTTCCTTTTTTGTAGGTTAAAAATGTTATTTTTTTATTATTATGATTTTATTTATAGGTGATCATTTCATCTAATGGTTGGGTGCCATCTTATTTTTCTAGCTTTTAGTTTAAATAATCTTAGTATTGCTGTCCGTCTTTTGTTTGATTTTGTTTTTGGTGGAGGACTTATTACATTTAATGGCAATCAATCCCAAAGTCATATTTGTACCCTCCCCTTCACCAACAGAAAAAGTTCATACTAAAGACTGTCATTTTTTCTCCTGTAGCATCCATCTTGCAGCCCAGTGAAATGGTAAGTTAGCGTCGTTACCTGTGCAGTACTACACAATATTATAAGAGTGCAATTATCAAAACAAATGTAAGAGGCTTATACAGTAGGCCCTTGTTCCCACCAATTGCGGTGCATTTCAAAGCAGAAGCTGCTAGAACGCACCGCAATCGCTCACAAAACTTCTCCCTGCGTTCTGGGGTGGGAGGGGGCGTGGCGGTGCATTGAAGTCAATGGCACCACAGCGCGCCCGCATTGCGATCAGATGCGTGGCAAACATTGCCTGCGTTCCTGTCTGCTGCAATCCATGACACAGGGTCACTATGTCGCCCAGAAGAAGGGACCCTGCGTGGCCCCGAAACGTTGGCTGTTTAACGCATGTAACGTTTTAATCAAAAGTGCTTTACTTCTTGCACATATCTTCGAGTGCTGGTGACTTCTATTATGGACTGTATCTGACACGGCGCCATCCGTGTTGTCACTCCAAGCACCAACCTCTCATCCACGGTCTGTACGCTGTATGGAGTGCAGGTGACTTCGTATTATCCAGTCTACTGCAAATGCAAAAAATGCTGCATGCTCCTTTTTGCGTTTGCAGTGGAACAGAACGCAGGCAATGTTTTGCCACGCGTCCGATCGCACTGCGGGCAGGGGGGCGTGTCTGTGGTGCCATTGACATTGATTAAATCGTCACATGCATCAAACAGCCAACGTTTCGGGGCCACGCAGGGTCCCTTCTTCTGGGCGACATAGTGATCCTGCGTTATGGATTGCAGCAGACTGGAATGCAGGCAATGTTTTGCCACGCATCCGATCGTACTGCGGGCGCTGGGGGGGCGCTGTGGTGCCATTGACTTCAATGCACCGCCACGCCCCCTCCAGCCCCAGAACGAAGTGGGAAGTTTTGTGAGCGATTGCGGTTATTTTCCAGCAGCTACTGCTCTGGAATGCCCCGCAATTGGTGTCAACAAGCCCTAAGGCAATGCAAATCCATGAAGCCGTACCAGCCAATTTGATGTAGCTTCACTGAATTCAGATCAATTAGAGATTCATCCTGATTGGTCAATTGATGTTCATTACTGTACTGTTTGCTTTAAAGATATGCCCTAGTTAAAACTGGAAATGAATGCTTGATGTGCATCCAAGGTGCACACACCCTACTTGCTCCATATTTAGGCTTCCATTGAGGAATTGATGTTCGATGCCAATCCTTCCTCTCCCTTTTGTCTGTAATCTGGCACTCTGAGAAACCCTGCTTGTGATGCAGGAGATCTGTTCCCAAATCCACCCTCTTGATGTTTGCTGTCTGAAAACAAAGACTGCTGGAAAAAAAAATTCTCTCAGCCACCAATTAGATTCGGACCTACTTTTAAAAGTTTGAATGTTAATGGTGATTCAGAGTGCACAGGACAGACGAAAGTTGCACATTACAGACTTCATGTAGTTGGGGGCGTGTGAGTATAGCAAGGGGGCGGGCAGAGTATGACATCACTCACAGTGGAGAAGTACATTCCCTGTCTGTGTGCACTGTGATCTACGCTCCTACAGGCTGCATCAAACCGAGAGAGAGGTGCAAAGGTTTTCTTTTCTTCAATTCAAAAGAGCTTTATTGCAACATGCACAAACTTACAAAGTCCAATTGGACTACGAGCAGGGTGGTGTGGCTGCAAGAGCCCTTGGGATATACTGTACAGGCATGCTGTGCGTTCGCACATGGTCCGGTAGTTCCTAGCAGCAATGCCACAGATGCAAACTGACCACACCAGCATGAATCTGCTTCCGTGCAGAAAACAGCAACCAAGGGGAACTGGCAGGATCACCAGCTATTTAGCAGCAACATATGAAATGACAACTTTAGAGGCTTCATTTACCACTATATGCATAATCAAAAGCATATAAGGAATGTACATTTTGGGGGTACACAAAAAGCTTGCAATGCCCTTGATTCTTCCATGGGTAAGTTTGGATGAATGAAACAAAGCCTCCTTGTTTGAGAATCTATCCCATCTATTGTTATTCACCTCAACCCTACTAGAGCTGCGAGGACATGCAAACTAGAAACCTGCTCATCATCAGCATACACTACAACCTCTCATAATCTGAGAAAAAGCATTGTCAGTGCCGGTCTTTTCTAGCCTTCTTCTCAGCATAATGGCATTCAATAAGATGGCCGGGCACTTTAACCCTAAGGCACCCATTGTCTGAGGTTAAATTGTCACAGAATGCAGTTAACCCGGTACAGTTTAGTGTTAAAATTATATCCCTACCCAAAACTTTATTTTTACTAAGGGATAGAGTGTGGAAGGGTTAGATGCTCTCTTTGGTTTCTCTTATCAGGGGAGACTCTCTAATTGGAGAGAGTCACCATATCAATTTATATTTTCTGGGACAGAAATTGTTGGAAAATCCAGATATTTACAGTTGTTTCAGGAACAGGAATATAGGGGAAACTTCCAATAGGGACAACTTAAATTGTGACAACCATCTGCTTCACTTTGGAGAGATTTCCTGTTGCATCTGCAGAGCAGGAAGTGAAAGTAAGTCTCCCCAATCGGGTTTTAGGGCCAGTTCACAGCAGCCCCAGTGCGTTCGGGGCCGGAAAACACACTGGATCGGATCCCGGCCAGCTCACTTTGTTTTGGAGCGTGGCAGTGCATTGAAGTCAATTGCATCACAGCCACGCCCTCCGGCTACAGTGCGATCACCCACACTGGAATGACACACGACAAACGCGCGTTTCCGAGGACTACCTGGCTGTATCCCAATGGATACGCGCGGCAAATACGCCCCAAAGAAGCTCCTGTACTTCTTTGGGCGTAGGGTGTTTTGCAGCGCGTTCCTACACGCCCAGGTGGGTACCGTGCCCATAGGCAATCATTGGTTTTCACATGTTGAGCGTTTTACAGAGCGTAGGAACACCCTGTAAAACGCCCAGGTGTGAACCAGGCCCTAGAGATGCATTTTAATGTGAAGGGAAAGTTAGTAAAAATAATCACACTAGACCTAGGAACACATCAGGCTAGAACATTTCAGCCAGCTATCTGTAGTTCTCAGCAGACACAAGCTGGTGTCTTGTCTCCAAATTTCACAGACAGATTATCAAGTGGATGTACATGATGGCAAAAAAAATGTGATCATTGAGGTCTAGTCCTCCATGGAACCTTCAGATATTCATTTGGTTGCCCCAGTCACACAGTATCCTGCCATTTTGTTTTGTTTTTAAACTTATGAAGCATTTCCATAAACATGATACAGATTCTTAGAAAAATAAATATATATAGGGATGATATGAATGTTAGATCCCATTCATAGAATGTAATTATGTCTATTAATTGTGTTTTTATTTTGTCTTATTTTAGGCATCAATGATTCCAAATCCAAGTTATACAGGTAACTTTAAGCTTGAATGTTCAACCAACCACATGAACTGATATTTTGTTATGGCAGGATGGCATCTCTAACTTTATATATTTGGTTTCTTTCCACATACCAAAACTTTCTTTAGTTTGGGATAGAATGTAGAAGGGATAAAACCTCTCGGATAATTTTTTTCCAGTATTTTTATGTAGAAATTTCTCTTCACTTCCTGTTTTAGGAGATGCGACAGAGGAATTTTTACAAATTTACGAGAATTGCCCTTTTAGAGCCCATTCACACCACATCCAGATCATCTCCAGACCAGATTGTTTCTGGACTCAAAATGCATCTCAATGTATCCCTGTGCTATTTCTGGCCTCTGTTCACACCAGCGCAGTCCATTCCAGACCAGAAAAATACTGCTTGTCTCATTTTGTCTCGTCTTGAATGCACTGGAACGCATTGAAACACTTAAAAAACGCATGGAACGCACCTGAGAGCCCATTTTAAGCTTTTTAAAAAAATTGCGGTAAGAAACGTGACAAAAACATGATGCCCTGTATTCCAGATCTTGTCCGGGAAATAATGTGCACCCAGCCTTAAACAGTTGTCACCGGAGCCAGTTCTTTCCCCCTTGGGTAGATTTGCTCTCACCTTCTGTAGAATTCTAGTTTCCCCATGACTTTCTGTCCTGGTGATAATGGTCACAGGACAGATGGAGAAGGTGAATCTTGCTAGCAGAAGATTAGATGGCAATAACAACTTCACTGGCCTTCTAAACCGTTCCAATCGCTATCCTATATCAAAGAAGTTTGCGCTGCACTGCATACCCTTTATGGTGTGACTCCAGCTAATGCTTGTTTTGTTTTACATTGAGTGGAAAAGAGAGAGAACCAAAAAGTTCTTGGCAAATCTGCAACTCCAGCAACAAGCTGAAGAAATGTGCTTCTTGTTTCAGGTCGGAAGCCAAGATATGTTAGACGAGAAAGGTCGCACAAATCGCCTGCACCAGTGCTGCTTACTCCATCGGCGCATACTCAAGTGAGCAATGTCTAGCCTACTCCAGGGTGTTGAGGTGGAAGGATCTGGAATGCACTGTGACCGTTCAAGAGCACTTAAGATCAGCACAATCAACAGAAACTGTGAAAAATGAGCATTTTGAAGTAAAACACATGACTGAAGTGTTTGTCTGCACAAGAAATAAATGGCACGTTTTGGGAAGGGGGCGGCTCCAATTTATCTGCAATTTCACTGTGTCATTTTTTGAGGGTTCCTTAGATTCATGGCAATACTATGCTGGGTTATCGGATCAATGGCCGATTTGAAGAATATGCAGTTTTTGTTAACACAACCATAAAATGTTGTCGGACTATTGTTGTTGATGAATTTCCTTGTAAGAAATGCTGTGTCTATTTTTTATTTTGTTTTGTATTTTAATAGATATCAATGGCTTTAATAAATTACATTTTTTTAAATTATTTTTGCCTTTGCTAATCCTTTTGGTTTGTGTTGCGTATGACAACGAAATCCACATTTTTCACACACTAATTTACATAAAGTATAGCTTTCATGAGAAAAATGTGGGGCTGCCATTGCTAACCTTGTTTTGAAAATGCTAGTTGACTGGCTGTGTACAGCTTCTGTATTTTTAAGCCACACACGGAACACCCAGAACAAGCATGCAGGAAATGAATGTCTGAGATGTAGAATAAACCTTATGTTTATCATTGGGCAACCTTCATATTCTCTTATAAGGGATTCATTAGAACAGGGCTAGACAACCTTGGCACTCCAGCTGTGGTCAAATCCCATTACGCCTCTGGGAGAGATACTTTGGCTGTCACAGTCTTGCAATGCCTGGTGAGACTTAGTCCCCATTCACACCTAGGCGTCAGCGTTTCTGCGCGTTTTATGCACGTTTTTCCTTTGAGCTGTTTTACATGCTTATGCGCGTTTTTGTGCATAGATGAGCGTTTTGGACATGTTTCTGCATATGGGTGTATTGAGTGTTATCCAATGAAAAGAAGTCCTGCCCGTGACATAATAAACTCCTACACATTAGCCAAGAGGTTAACAACATCAGCCTTTCAGGAGCTGTGGAACTACAAGTCCTGTGATGCATATAAACGTTTGTACACCCAGAAGAGAAACAGACATGACACCCAGAGGTGGCTGCATACTGGGAATTGTAGTTCCACAACACATGGAGATCTGCAGCTGCACAGACCTACAATAGCCACACAAGCAAGCAGAAACATAAAGCTACAACAGTATCACAACAAACGTTAAATATGTCACGTGCACATGTTTTACCTTTGCTGTCATGAATCAGCCATTTTGTTTCCCAGTGTGCTTTGCAGGTGGTCTTCCACAATGTATATGCGCCTTAAAAACACGTTCTTTTTGCACATAAACGCGCAAAACCCCACATGCGCATTTTCCATTGAAATCTATGTAGCACAAACGCGCTGAATCTGCCTGAAAAAAGCTCATGCACCTTTTCCAGCATTTTTACAGCTTGCTGCTAAACTCTCAGGTGTGAACAGGGGCCATAGAAATGAATAGGAATTCTTGTGTTGTGTGTTTTGACACTTAAGCTTTCAGCGTCAAAACGCCCAGGTGTGAACAGGGACTTATAGTTCCACAACAGCTGGAGTGCCAAGGTTGCCCACCCCTGCATTCAAAAGTATTGACGCTTCTGTTGATGACTTGCTTATTAGACTGCTTTCTCCATTTGCATAATTGCTCCACTGCTTACAAAGTCATTGACCTAGAACAAGGATATACATATCAGGTGTCTTACACCGGATATGCACATGCATGGTACAAGTCATTGACACACAGATTATTAAAGCATTGGACTCAGTCACAGGCCCTGGAGCTTACACCTTACACATGTCAGCAATGGCTGCTCCCATTTAAAACCAGTTACTATACCTCTATTTTCACCACAAGGTTATGTCCAACTGACTCCCTTCCACATTAAGAAAAATGTATGTTGCGACTATGTACTTTCTTCTGTAACAATTCTCACCAAGCATGTCTTCCTAACTACAACTCAATGTCTGAACAGTGCAACATCATCATTGCTTGCTGGAAGCAATGAATGATGGGCTATGTCGCCTTGAGAAAGTGGCACTGACTACATGAAAGGGATTTTGTCAAATAAGCTTCAATTGCATTATCAAAAACAACTCTAGTATGTATTCCTATTACAATGTTGATGTTATACCAGGATAGCATACGCTGGGACTTTAGAACTCTGTTAAAGCAAAAATATTGATCCATGCCAAATGGCCAGTGAAATCCATGAAAACGCTGTTAAACTTCTGCATATATTGCGTGTAGAAAATAAGGACGTCAGAATGATTTTCTTTGTTTCCGTAAGACAGTATTGATCGATGTTCATTTTTATCAGACTGCGGTCATATATAACTTGCTATTGGAATTTCCCTGTCCGTACCAGCCACGTCTCGGCATTATCTGTATGTATTCTGTTGGTGTGTTACAGGCACAAGCTCACACTTAGTCTTAACTGATCAGCCTGTGAATCAAATTACTTCAAGAGGTTTTCAGGACAGTCATCTGATGCTTGCTGTCCTCTTTGACAAAAAGGATTTTGTCTCAAGTCATGGTGTTCCCCCAAGTAGAATATAAGATGCAGCATGCTGTAATTTGCATGCTTTTATTTATTTAAAAAAAAAAAAAAGCAATCCTAAAAATGTTAACTTGACCGTGTCCTGTGGCAAATGGGTGGTGTGTGTGTGTGTGTGTGTGTGTGTGTGTGTGTGTGTGTGACACATACACCAAAAAATGTTGGGAATTCTAAACAGCAGTTGTTGTTCTTGTTAATGTGAGCTCCGTGTCCTATCATATTAAAATGTATAAGCGCATCCTGCATTGTGCAACCTGACAACGTAGCGTACCATTCACTGGCACAATATTAAACATGTTTTCTTCCAGGATATGCCAGAACAGATACAAGCCATGCGTGTGAGAAATCACGTGCTGAAATTGTCATATCAGAAACTTTAGCTGATTCATGTCTTATCGGCACCTCTGTGTGATAAGGAGATTTCTCTTTTATTCATTACATTTTTTGGATAGCCCTATGAGGACTATATGAGATTTTAGGCAGATTTTATTTTTTTATACTTGTGTAATGTGGATGGCCATTCTGAAGTTGCACTTGACCCACATTGCACTTCTTTGGAGTCCTTTAGTGACCCACTTGTGTTGTAGTTAAAGAAGGTCAAAAACTGCCCCAAACATATCCAGTTGAATGGTGCTGTATCTTAATCCGAAACACCTGTTTAAAACAAGGTCCCTCTACACAAGCCTTAAAGGAGAACTATGAGGTGAGTGCTTTTCACTCACCTCATAGTTCTAGCCGACCTGTGACAATGAGACTGTCACAGGTCGGCTCAGTAGATCGGGAGGTGAGCGAACACATACCGGGTTTGCTCGCCTCTCGATCCTGTCATGGCTCTCTGCCGTGACAGGGGGAGGGGCTGGATTCCCCTCTCCCCGCTCCGATCTGCCAGCGCTGACTGGCGGAACGGACGGGGGAGGGGCCGGGTACAGCTGGCTCTGCCTCTAGATAGGCAGAGCCAGCTGTCACTCACGCAGCTGGGCGGATCCCGTCATCTAAGTCGGGATCCGCTCCGGCTGCAGCGTTTCAGTATACCGCGAGCTGTAGCTCGCAGTATACTGAGCTTAGGGTAACGGGAGGACGCTAGTTTGTGTCCTCCCGTTACCCTAAGGAGAACTATGGGGAAAAGCCCTGACCCCATAGTTCTCCTTTAAGTCTCTGCCTAAAAAGAGATTTAACCCCTTGTTCACAACGGCCTCCACTGAAATCTGTGTGTTTCAAATGAAGCAGCTGTCAACAATAAGGTATAGTGGACCTAGACTGGAAAATCTTCCTTTCTCTTGGCACAGCTGAGATCTTTAGATCTTGAACATTGGGTTATAGCACAACCTTCAGGAGTAGGACACTAGGCACAAAAACAAACAGCCTATGGGCTGCCCCTGCTGGTGGCCAAACTCCACAACTTCTAGAGGAAGCTCAGTTTTTAGCCTAGTTAGGACCTGAGCTCCATGCTGGAAATCTTAGTTCCCTTTTGTTTTGATGGAAGTTATTTTTAATTAGTCTACTTGTTGGATCCAACCACCCAAAGGACTTTGATTTTCTTAGTACAGGTTCCTGCATGTGTTTTCATTGGGGGACTCTGCAGACGACAGGTTGATTATTGCTGCCTAAGAGGGAGTTGTTTAGTGTTTTCCCACCCCTCAGTAGTTACTACTTTAGGATGTCCCAATGGTCAAGATTGAAAAAGCTCAGCTGTGTCCTTCAGTGAACAGAAGAGAAGATAGGATTATTTTGTTTTCACCATAGAACCCTTTCTGCATTTATTTAAGAACACAGCACCTGCCCCTTTGGTTGTTATGTATGTGACCAGTTTTTGGCCTGGTACTGCTTTTTGACTAAGCTGTTCTTACCAGTTGGGGATTTGGCCACCACCAGGGGCTTTCCCCAGGCTGTGCTTTTGTTTTTGTGTCCTACTCATGAGGGTGATGCTATAACCCACTAGTCAAGATCTAATGATCACTGCTGTGTCCTTTAATGACGCAATGTACGGTGAGTACACAAAATCCTATTTTTCAATTACATCATTCAAGCTCTATGAATTTATAGATTTACCAATTGCTCCTGAACTTCACCTGGTGCTGACTTACAGGTCTAATGTTATGCCGTTGGTCATGTGGCCAGTGCCAAAGGATCTTGTGGGAAATGATGTTTAAAGCAAGCTAGCCAATCCAGGAGCCAGTGTTGTCACACATCTTAGGAGAACTCCTGTTTGGATGTGTAGAGCACAAAGCACATTTGTAACACTCATTTTCATATATATGGAGTTTTCCAGATGTTTTATAGAAAAAAAAAGATGGGGTATATAAAGTATCAATCTTCTTTAAAGAGTATTCCCACTTTTGCAGTCAAATTGAAATAACACCTACTTTATATTTGTTATATGTTCCCATTCACATAGCACAACTTGCTGCTGACCTCTTTACTTCCTGAAAAATCTGAATTAACTTCCCGTCCTAATGTTAGGGAGCGGCTTTGGAGCTATGTTTGCCATAAATAACCATGTCTGTTCTGTGCTCCTCAGTGCTGGGGAGGGGGGGGGGGGAAGAGACCCACATTGTTAGGTGATGATTTTTAGGTAGAAAATGGATGTTCACCATTTGTGTCACTTGATTTAAAGTGGTTTATGAATCATAGGTCATCAAGAACCACTGGTCTACATCCAGGCTAAACAGAAGACGTGAGAGATGAACATGGTCTAAGAAAAATAATTGTACGTCTGTGAGTGTGCTGCATGTTTTC